TTGTTCCAAAGAAAAGAAAACACCCTCCAAAATCATCCTACACTTACCAGGCTTACTTTTACACTTTCAAAGTTGTAAGCTGACCTGCTTGCAAACAGCGCAGCGTGCCCGTTCCCCCGGATGAAGTTGTCCGCAGGGACATTAGATATTCAACCATATTCCAGGGAAAAACTAGGGCGCACCAAAGCCCTACAAATTCTAATATTTTTAGCAAAGGCCGTACAATCTACGCCCGTGTGCTGCTAGCTAAAAGCCTGATACAGACAGTAGAAATATTACAGTCAAACTAAATATTTAATACATTAAAGTTATGTAGGGATAACTGTGACATTAGCACTTTTTCCTAGCATTTAGGAAGAGTTCAAAGCACAGGTAAAGGCATAGCAGCAGTGAGAGCATCCAGTGGGATATTAGCTTTATTATTAACTGTTTTGTTTTTCCCCTTTCTTCTGCTCTAATATGTTGTTTTTTTATTTTTTACATTATTTAGTCTTATGATTTTATCCTGCCTCTTCTGTCTATTTGTTTTGCCAAAGTCTCATTAAATTTCTCCACCGAGGGACAATAAAGGCATGACTTCTACAAATCGTTGAGCATGTTGCTACAGTATTTTACCCCTTTTTTTCCCTTTCTGCTCATTTCCTGTCTGCACAATCAATAAGATAAAAACATAAATGCTAAAAATGAGTCTGCTCTTTATCCAGCAGGCAACAGCTTCAAAAAGCAGCAAAGGGGCCAGATAAACACCACAACTTCCAGCTATAGATGACCCAAACTTCAGAATTAGTAAAACAGAGTTATAAGAAGTCCCCAGGAGGCAAAACCTGACGAGAAAATTAGTAATTTCTTAAATATTATTACCAGAAAGTAACGTTCACCCTGTTAATAATATAGTAACATTCCTTCAGCATCTTATTCTTCAAAAACCCTCTGAAAACCACAGCTGATAGAAAATCCCAGGCAGATCATCATATCACACATTCATCATGCAGCCCTGACTCCCACTTAGAAATAATCCCAATCCAAGGCTTCTTCTCTTGTTTTTGGTCCTGATGCGACTGAAGTGATGCAGGAAAGCTTTTTTCTAATGTCCTCAATTGTATTTATATCCACCAGAGAGAAAATTACATAATAGTCCCACCAAGGATTCCTTCATGGCTAAATTCATATCCTTGTTAGCGTCAGGGAAGAATAAATAATGGCCTTAAAAAATCCTGCCTTTAGTTTTACTTTTTGTTTACATTTTATTCAGAATTTTAACCAGCCGAAGCCGAGCTATGCAACTTGGGGGGGAAAAAAAAGAGGATTTATCATCTTAAGTGCAAAATGTTTATAGATTTAAGACTATTTTGGATAATTTTGCTCTCAGATGGATGTTGGCATGTGTTAGAGATTAAGCTGATGATAAATCAGTTACTATTCACTCAGTCAACATTTATTTCAATAATCTACTAAACATGATTAGTCAGATTAACTTCAGATCTGGTTTAAATGTCAGTTTTTGGTGGAAGTATCTAAAATCCTCACATTTTAATGAGCTTGTTTAGCAGAGATAATGATACATTAAATAGGAAGCAATCTATTTATGAGCTGCAGGATGGAAACATGAAGGCAGATTGAAAGTAAAAGTAGAAATACGATCCAGCCTGCTTCATTTTCTCTGCCGAAGCTTCTAGTTGCTTCTCTCATAATTGATCATCGTGGTATGAATCTAAGCAGATGTCAGTCACTCTAAGCTTCACAGGAAAACTCCACACTGAAGATGATGCTGAGGAACCAGCAGGCCTCTACTAACCCCTCCCAATGTATAACACATCAGTCCAACACCTCAGCATCACTTCACCTCCAAAAACATGTTCATCTTTCATCAAACAAGCGCCACAAATGATATCAGCATATATATGGGAGCCATCAGGGAGTCCAGGGACACGTCGGTGGGACAACCGTCCATCAAAATCAGCAATGGTTGCTTTTTTTCAAACTTTTTTGCAGAATCTGGTATTTCAAGTTATGAAGAAGCCTCTCCGCTTTTGAGACCACAGTATTCTTATATTTAAAAGATTTAAAAGCGTACATTTTAGGCTTAATATTGGCTTGTTTTCAGAGATTTCCTTGTATGCAGAGGGGGCGTGTCATAGTCTGTTTCTAAGCCAGATAGTTTCCTTTGTTATTGCCCCTGCCCTCCAAGCAAACAGCATGGCTAAAGTTAGGCAGCAAAATGACCGGTGTATCAATATTCACTAAATGTTCGCCGCAAAGATTGTTGCAGACGAGCTGAACAGAGGGTGTTACGCTGAGAGCTTTCTGAAGTATTTCAGACCAGCTGGATGCTTTTGAAGACGAGCTGCACTGCATCTGAAGACGATCGAACGGAGCCAATATGAAAACGAAGAAGAATATACTGGATTAGTGTCAGACGAGTTGGACTGGATGATATCAGAGGCTATATTGATAGTAACTTTTGATGTGGAAGATGACAGAGAAATGATGAAAATCCATAACTTTGACTGTAAATGCTACATGAGAAGAAAAGAGAACTCTGAGTGGAAGAAAGTCCTGTAGCCAGAAGCTTTCTCATGTTGCAGCTTTCTCACATGCAGCTGGATTCTTTAGTTGTGCAGACGCAAACTTACGAGATCCACAAAAAAGCAAAGAGTGAACGGGCCCTTATTAATTGCTTCTTTGGTAAATATTGGTAAGTGTTTCTAGATGTTGGAGATCGGCCTGTTTTCCAGTGTAGTCCTGTTTCTCTGACTGTGTCTAACTGGATGTGCTCTCTTCATCCTCTGGCATGGGAGCTGGCTCGGAGCTCGTCTGCCTGGCTGTGTGTTTCCTGGATGGGGCCGCCTTCTACAGCTGCTTTTTGTGTCTCTGCTTCTGTCTCCTTGAACCCCAGTGGGCCTCAGCAGATGGCCGCTCACACTGAGCCTGGTTCTGCTGGAGGTTTCTTCCTGTTCAAAGGGAGTTTTTCCTCTCCACTGTCGCTATAAGCATGCTTAGTTTGAGGGATTGCTGAAGAGTCAATGAGTTGATGCAATCAGCTGGTTTTTCCTTAGATAGAAAACTTTGAATCAATCTGACTGAATGATCTGGTGAACTGGAAAGTGACCTGAGATGACATGTGTTGTGAAGTGCACTATAGAAATAAACTGAACTAAATTGAAAATTTGTAAATCACATTTTCCAAATCAGTGAAAAAGTCTAAATGCACCAGAATCCACTTGTGTCATTAGTTTCAGTGTTGGGTCACATATTGGTGCTTAAATATTATTTATTTTAGCTGAAACAGCTCTTCATAATATTTAATTCAAAATAACAACATTTGATTTTGACACATTTTACTCAGATTTATGGAGCATTTTCAATTAAAAGTCAGTGCTGCTTCCACAATACAACCAAATCTATTTTTGTGTGGTGTTAAGGGTCTTTGCTCAGGGACCCACAGTGGCAGGCTGTGGGAGTGGGTTTGAACTTAGAACCTCTGGGATCCAAGCACGATGCCCTAACCAATAGACCTATCTGTAATCTTGAGAAACTTGATTAAAAATACTGTCATTAGTATATATTAGTAAGGAGGAAAACATAAATATGCATAATAAAGAAGGTTATAAACTAAAGGATAACATCCAGAGACACCTGTATTTTATCCTGATGAAATGTTATAGAACAAAATAGGAAAACAACAAGGATGAAAAAGTCTGGACAGGATCTTTACACCTCCATATTAAAATCAGCTAGAATGTTGCCTGCAGCATCACAGAAGCACGGCGGTGGCTCCAACCTCATCTCTATATTAGGTCTGATACCGGCAGTTAAATCAATGTGATATCATCATACCCAATGTAGAAACAAAACAACTCTCCAAAATTAGAGAAGAACCACAGAACCCAGCAGCCAGTGCAGCCTGGCGCTAACAATCATCATCAACCATGAGTGCTCATCCTTTACAGGCTGAGAGCTGTTAGGCATTAAAGCTGCATGCTTCCCAGATGCCTTTAACAGGCTCACACTTTGTTTCACTGCCTTCTAGCAGCACAGGAAGGAAAGTTTCTGCAGCGCCTGCAGTGTCCACCTTACAACATCCTGTGTTCAGTCCCGTCTCTAGCTACAAGATGCAATATTTCAACTCATGCAACCAGAGCAGAAATATTTGCTACTCTTGCATCACCGTGATAGAAGCCAGTCTCTGTTTTTAGCCACAGGGGACTGTGTCATGTTTCAATCTGCCACTTAATAAATCATGAGACAAAAATCCAGTCCCAGGAAAAGTTCTAACTATGTTCTGAGCTGCATGGGATGGGCCACTTGAATATTTCATGACTAAACGGTCCATTATACTGCTAAGATCTAGGCCAAGGCCAAGACTGAATGAAGGGGGGGGGGGGGGGGGATAACGGTCCGAGGCCAACAACGCAGAGGGTCAGGGAGGGGGGGGAGCAGCCATCTGGGTTAATCACAGGAAAACAATAAGCATCTCCGACCATCAGATTTCTGCAGGAGTTTCTGGGCTGGATGATGAGCTAAAATAAAAAAAACAGCCTTATTTGTGTTTTTCCTTCTGCAGTTTATTAAGATCCAAAGTGATGCCTGCAAAGACAAGCAGGGGGGGAATGACGCCCTAATGTGGATCAAGTTAGGTTCAACTCCACAGCTAGCCAGGTTATGGTTAGCTGTTAGCCAATAAACTTAGCTAAAGTTTACTTTAAAGGGATGTTTTGGTGACTGAAGCTCGTATTTGGAGGCCAGAGTTGTGCTTTGACTCAGCTCCTCCTCAGAAATGCGAGTCAACACTTGACAGCGTCACATTGCGGGGCGCTAATCCCCCTGAGGCCTCCGAGTCCCCGGCCTCAATTTGACGGCCCAGGCCGCTGACAGCGCCTAATATCGGTCAGCTGTAAACGGCTTACAGGCCGGTCCCCGCCTCCTTACCCGCCTCCGGTCTACTCACAGCTAATAATGCGGCGTTAAAGCTAGCAGGACAGGCTAACTGAAGAACCCACCTCGGTTGTCGAGGTCGTAACCGACCACAACAAAGTAGTCTGCGAGCCGGGCCATGTTCGGAGCTCAGGGCGACGGGCCGCTCTTACTCAATCCTCTCGTCTCTGGGCCGTCAGGAGTCCAGTTACGTACTGCCGGCGATACAAACATCATGGGAGACAGTAGCATCCTTCCAGCTGCACTCCGCCGCCATACTGTCAATTTGCCTTGCCCTGACAGCCGAGAGAGGCGCGCATGCGCAGTGAGGAGCGACAGGGAGGGGCTGCTCAGCAAGAATGTCCCATGAGAAGGGGGGGGGGGGCAATTAGAGAGCAAAGCCTGTGATTAAAGCAGCTTCCACTGAGCCACACAGGCAGAGGTGACGGTTAATGGCGGGTTGCAATCTAAGGTCCTCGAAAATAAATGAAGAAAAAAAAAAGACACATGGAGAAAACAAACAGAAACACTTCTTTATTATACACAAGTAAAGAAATAAAAGAGTACATTTCAATAACAGAACTACTACTATGTCAATACTATGTTATTATGTTAATACTTTAACATCATAAAGATCAGTGTTGCACCGATACCAGTATCGGGCCGGGCTCCGATCCAGCTCTAAAATAGTGGTATCGTATCGGCGAGTACCGACAAATAGGGCATTTTGAGAGTTTATTCAACTATTGTCACCCATTCCAGGTAGGCAATAAAAACTGGATTCAGTTTGTTTTAGTCTTTTTCCTGCTTCACAAAGGTAGGCAGCAGCTTGACAAAGCCATGATGGCAATTATTTTACATCCAAGTAGTATGAAGTTCTTCATACTACTTGATGAAATTGATCGATACCATCAATTTCTAACAGATGGTATCGATATGGGCCAATACTACACAGCCAGGTATCAGGGCCAAAAAATGGCATCAATGCAACACTAATAAAAATGATCTGATTATATTATTTGGACTTATTGACTGCACTAACCTGCGATGTGTCTTCTTTGTTTGCCTTTTTAGTTCTGAAAGGAATCTTCTGCAAACCTCAAGTTTAGCTTTCCAGCAAACACGTCCAGGTGGGACCATATGGGCCTCACTGGATGGGCTTCAACTGGGCATGGGCTCAGATTGGGCACTGTCGCTGGGGCTCATGTGGGAGAAACCTGAGTTAACTGTCATTTGACTAGCCAGTATCGTAAAGCAACCAAAGTGCTAAACTTATTTCCTTCTGGAGTTTTTTGTAAAAGTTGTTCTGTTACAAATTTCTTTAAAAGTACCCTAAATTCAGGGCCCCAGGGGACCCCTTCACCGAGCTAAAACCTCAAACATTTGATAACTTTGAATCTTCAGTGCCTTAAAGCTACAGTGTGTAATTTTCAGCGACATCTAACGTCCAGACTGCAGACCGCATCAACATGAACATCTCCCCCCCACCGCTTCTCCCCCCCAACAGTACGGCGAGCGTTACGGGACAAAATGTCTTCCACGACGTCCGCATCACCTACCTTCTCAAGTGATGAGGTTTGTTTACATAGATAATTTTACAGATAATATTTAATTAGTCTGTGTAGGGTATAGATTTCAGTACGTCTCAGTTCATCTCTCTCAACTTGCCGTAGTTACTTTCGAGCGTAATGGGTGATCTCGCAATCGCTAGTTTGTTGGCTCTTGCCGTAGCGCAAAGATGTCTGCCTCCATGGCTGCGAGACCCGCTCCTATGTAATTATAAATAACGAATTCTAAGGCAACGCAAATATTAAGGTTAAGAGGCTGAGCTCGTAGATGATGATAAATAACATAGTTATGTATAATATATTACATTTTTGACTGTATATCCCTGTAATTATTACACACTGTAGCTTTAACTGCATATTGACAAAGTTTGAGGCAGATGTGTCAAAATCCCTAGGAGGAGTTTGTTAAATATGGACATGAGCGAAAATGAAAAATGGGCAAAAATCACATTTTGAGCCAAAATGGCCGACTCCCTTTGGTTTCTATTCATCAAATTTACTTTTTTCATGATTTGCGGAGATCTCCTTGTGTGCCAAATTTCACTTCTCTGTGACTTACGGTTCTCTCTAACTCACTTAAGGGGGCGCTGTGGAGCCATTTTGGGGTGGCCATTTTGGATTCCATTCTAAAAAAGCGGTTTCACACAGGCACAATCGTTGGAAAAGTTTCGTGAGTTTTTGAATATGATAAGGACTCCAAATCTGATATTTACGCACTTTATAAGGTTTATATTTGTCAGAGAAACAAAATAGTCATTATATATTCAATTAAAGTCAGGGTGTTATGATCAGCTGGAGATTACAGTGATGGTAAGGAGGCATTCCAAACTGAACATTGCAGAACTTTTCACTGAATCATCAAAATATCAACATAAACATGTAGACTAATGTTTAGCAATCGCTATTATTGCTGAAATGCAAAATCAATATTTTTAGCTGACTGCTGTGAAGGGTATGAATAGATGTTATTAAATCAATGCGGATTGTGACATATTGTTTTATTTAAAAGGGGTACTTATTTGTTATTCCTTTCAGAAATATTTGTCTCCTTGTCTAAAAGAAACAAACTTAATTGTGAAAATATTCTAAATATAGATAATATAAATAATTTTTTTCAATAGATTTGATTGAATTTTCTCTTTTTTGACACAACAGACTTACAGACAACAAACTTAACCTTGTAACTAGTATTTATACTCACTTACATTCACCATTCAAACCTGCATTTGTCTAGTTCAAAAATAAACAAAAGCCTTAAGGTTAAGGTAGAGAAAAATAACAAGGCAATATATAAATAGAAACAGTAGTCATGACATCCACTGAAAACCCCATCAATAATCTCCACCTTCAGTCCCTACGACCCCCGGGTATGGCTCCCATAGATACTCAGAGTCCCGTTATTTGCTCTTGGCAATTCTTTCTTTGCAGCTTCTTTCATCCAGAGTCCCATGGAGGGGGGGGCTCCATGCTCTTCCAGCATAGTGCAATAAATCTACTGGCTTGAAGAAGTCTGTAGTCTATCAATGGAGTTTTCCTCTGCGACAGTTTAAATTCTATTAGATATATTCCTAGAACACAGATTTTAACCTCTAATAGGACTTTCACCTTAAGCAGTTCTGAAAAACACCTAATAACGTCCTTCCAAAACTTCTGGACTTTAAGACATTCCCTAAAACAATGGAGAAGAGTTCCTTTTTCAGATAAACATTTAGTGCACGTATCTGGAATATCACTGGACATATGATGAAGCCTAACTGGTGTTATATAGGTTCTCATAAGCCGTGCCAGGTGTATAGAGATAGTTTTGTATGTATTGAAATATTTTCAGCGTACACCCTGGGTTTCCATAATGAAAAAAAAAACAAATATAAAGTTGTTTCTTTGCTTTCACAAAAGGTAATTTTTTGAATTTCCTGTTTAAACATGTTTGTTTAAAATATTTGAAAAGATAAAATCATTACGTCCGCCAAGGAGGCTATGTTCTCATAAGCGTTGGTTTTTCTGTCTGTTTTGAAAATAACTAAAAAAGTTAAGAATGAATTTAGCTAAAATGTTCAGAGGAGGTGCGTACATTGACTGACAACAAATGATCAAATTTTGGTGACCATCCGGATCACCATCTGGATCCCAGGGTCAGGAAATGAGCAACTTGGTGGAGGTCTGCGCTCTCTGAGTGCTAATTGATGCACACAGAGAAGATGTTTTTAAAGGCTCATATAACAGAACTCCTATTTATGTTGAAAAAAACTATGACTTTCACAATTGTTTTTTAAATACTCTTTAAAGTTTGAATTCAAAAAACAAAAAGCTTAGTCTTAGTACTTCAGAGAAAAACCAAGTCAGGAAAATCCTATTGAGATCCAGCATCTATTTTTCCAGCATCATAAACACAGATTAAGACATTTTTAATCATTGTTATAAAAGTTAATGGATGAAAAAAGGGTATTTAGATAGATTAATAGAAAATATATTTTTTTAGATTTATTTATATTTAAGGCAACACAATACACCACCAAAGAAAATCCCTATATAACACAGTTACACATCTTTTTGCTTCAGAGAAGCTTTAGGAAATGCTTTTCAAACATGAAGACAAGGAAGTGCCTGAAGATTAAAAACAGGAGAAAAAAAAGCAGCTGAGAAACTATTTAGGTGGAAATTAGGAGCATCTGAGACAAATGAAGGTAAAGGAAGCTGAGGGGGGAGAATAATATTCAGGAGCCTAATTCACTGAAACCCAGGAAATAAAAGTAAAAAAAAAATAAGCATGAAAACTAGTATAGCAGCACAAAATAGAAAACATAAACAGCCACCCCAAAAGTTCCCAACTGGGGATTATGATTATTATGTCAAAGTGTCTGGAATAATAAAGAACGTTAAGCATATATGTAGTTTTTTCAAAAATATTTTTGTAATTTTTTTTATTACAATATATACATCAATTCAAAAGAGACAGATGTTTAAAAAAAATTGTCAGATAAAAAAACAAAACATTTTGATCTGATAAATGGACCTCTTCTTTGTTAAATATGACTTTAAAACATATCACTGTGGTTAACAGTTCAAAATATTTTTGGATGCAAAAGACAGAAACAAAACTTTAGAAAAAAAAGCAATTAAAGTGTCCAAAATACTCCATCCATCCATCCATCCATCCATCCATCCATCCATCCATCCATCCATCCATCCATCCATCCATCCATCCATCCATCCATCCATCCATCCATCCATCCATCATCCATCCATCCATCCTTTTTCCATGTCCATATACCATATTTTTCCGGATTTTTATAAGGTAGAAATTTTGTGTGTTTTTATGGAGTGACTCTTTATAAGAAGAAAAGACTTGATAATCTAAGCCTCTGTGGAAAAACTCTGTCTAATGACCTTTAGCAGCATTTTTAGAAGCAGGCCTATCAGGAGAACAAGTTTAAGAACAAGTCATATTATATAATGAAATGCTTCTTTAAAAAGAAATGGCCCAATCATGAGGCCTTTAGTCATAACTGTGAAGATAAGGTTGAGTGGGATGAGAGGAAGGCCGGGTGGCCTGTATCCGGGTGGCCTGTCCTTGGCTGTCAGCGGTGTTACAACCTCAGGAGATATCCAACACTTCCTGCACTTTCACCTTTGATCTAACGTTCTGGCACACCGTAGTGAAAACCCCACACTGTTTTTGTTCAGTTCATCTCTGATTGGAGCTCAGTGATGAACAAAAACCAGAAACTATTTTAATAACCAAG